TTTAAACCACACACTGATCTACAAAATCCCCAAACACAAGTTTAAAGTATGGCACTCACGTTCGGGCTCTCCCTTTCATTTTTTTCCACAAAGATTTCTTCCCTTGGATCCAGTGGGTGCTTCGCTCAAATGCGCTATATACATTTTTAAGAAAAGAAATCATCAAAATAACGCTAAGATCTGGCGCTCCTAATCCTCCATTTTCTTTACCTTTATACATTAATTTCCTCTGCGTTACTTCGCGGTTTGTCCCCCAAATCAATTTAGTACACAATTTACTTAATTTAATAACAGTTTTCTGAGGAGGGGGAAAGACAGTAGCTAGAAACAACAACTTTGAGACTACATGTGTTTTCACGATATTCACACGCGCTTTATAGTTTGTATTTTTATTGTCCCATTTAGCTACTTCGTTTTCTATTTCACTCTCTTTCTTTTTCCAATTCAAAAGACATGGATCTTTTTTAGTAATCCAAATACCTAAAATCTTCATCTCCTTGTTAATTTTTAAATCAATTACAGGTTCTTTTAAGTTTCGTCCAAACCAAACTCCTTCGGTCTTTTTCTGGTTTAGCTTAGCACCAGTTGTTCATATTTTGTTAGCAAATCCTTAAGTATTAATAGCTCCTTTTGATCTTTAAGAATTACAGAGACATCATCCGCATAAGCAAGGGCAGTCACCTTGTAAGCGTCATTTAGGACGTATCCAGTAAAACGGCTATCACTATTGATTGTTTTAAGTAACGGATTTATTGCTAGAACATATAGGGCTGCGCTTAAAGGACATCCTTGTTTCACTCCACATTCGACTCGAAAGGGTTCGGTCAGTCTTCCATTTACTTTAATCTGGACAAGGGATTTTTTATATAATACTTTAATACTTAATATAGAGATGAAGGTTTCAGGCATATTATAGGCTTTCATTACTTCCCACAAATAAAAGTGGGAGATGTAATCAAAGGCTTTCCTTTGGTCGAGACTTAAAATAAAAAATTCTGTATCTTCTCTACTATAAATTATTTCACGCAAAGTACATAAGTTATCCCACATCAGACGACCTCTTATTGCACATGTTTGCTCTTTTTCTATAATTTTATCTAATACCTCATCAAACACATTCATAATTATTTTAGCAAATATTTTATAATCAACATTCATTATTGTTAATTGTCTATAATTATTTATATTATCTCTTTCCCCTTTCTTATATAGCAAACACATTAATCCATTATAAAAGGAGTCGCCCAAAGTTCCCTTATGCATGCTTTCATTAAAAACAGTGGCTAAAAATTCGGACATTTCATTCACAACTATTTTATAAAATTCGGATGGAAGCCCATCTAAACCAGGGGTTTTGTTTATATTTAACTGACTGATCGCACATTCTACCTCCTCTTTAGTAATATTTCCTAAAAGTGACATATATTGGATGGAGTCCAGAGGCTCTATTTTACTTAACAGGTATTTTGCTGCACTTGTTTTTGTAGATAACGGAGAGAACATATGGGCACGTAGCCTTCTGATAACTCGCCTTTTATCTACTTTGTTTACAAAGGAGTTTCCTCCCTCATCTCTTATAGAAGAAATAAAATCATTATTACGTTTCTTTTGGTTAACACCAATCATATAATCTTTATTACCATTTATATCACCTCCCATAGATTTTTGCATGTTAAATAATATATCATTATTTACTTTTTCAATACTAACTTTAAGTTCTTCAATCTGGTTCTCTTCATCCTCTTTTCTAATTTTTTTATTCTTCAACAAAATATATTGATTTACTTGTTCGTTATACTTTATATTTTTTGCATAATTTATTTCTCTACATTTAAATTTGAAAAAGTTTTGCATACGTTCTTTCAGTATCTCCCACAATTGTATATCAGATGTTGTGAGTTTTTTAAGTTGCAAAACTTTCTCAATTTCTG